GGGGGGGGGGGGAGAAGACACCGAAATGCGTCCTTGCCATGATACCTGTCCAGGAAATAAACATGACTACAAAGTGAATTCCTGCACGGAACGATTCCTATTATCCCGGGTCATTAATACGGAGCTGAACACTGCGCGCTAACATTTCAACTGTCCGAGAATTGTCGAACCGTAGAAAGCATAAAGAAGCCTATAATTACATCTGTTGTATTTATCAGTGATCGGGTAGCAGTTAGCGATGGTATTTGGTTACCCCTTTTTGCCTAGTATTCGACGCCACCTCATTTTATAATCATATTTGTAACACGACAAAGTGAATGTCACATATCTCATATTGCGCATATTTTGCCTTTCCTGTAGTTTAATTCTACCATGGAAAATACAAACGGTTGCTTTTCCAGTCCCACAGGGTTTAGTACAGAGGAATCTATTCACAGTTCATATAAAGTTGATGAATGTCACAATTTGTCCTTGTTTCGTGCACTTTTACGGATGTTGAAATTTAAAACTTTTCAAAGCTTCCTCCAGTTTGTGCTTGAATGAATCAATTGTGGTGCAGAAACAACGTGTGGTAGTAGAGAATTCCGAGTAACGCACACTCTGAGGGCCACTGAATAACGCCGGCATTCTGATCGGCATTTTTGTGTGTTGGAGGACAAAGAAAAGAGTGCACGACATGGGTGATCTGAGTTCTGCATTATTTGATATACCAAGGTCCAATCCTCGAATGCGGTCATACTGTGTTGAGTACAGCTGCTGTGATTCCAGTCTTTCCGCATAACTCTTGGAATCCAGCCCGTTAACCATTTTAGTGGCCATTCTTTGTGGACGTTCCAGAATATTCCGATCGCGTTACAGCTATGGATTCCATGATTGAATGGCGTACTCTATGTGGGGTCGAGTGGGCTGATAACAATTGGGGGAACGGCGTAGGTTCAAATTTGCCAAATACTCTTTTAGAAAACCAACGTATCTTACAGCGGAAGACGACTTCCGGGAGAAGTTTTAAGAACAGCTTAGGTTGTCTTGAACAATGACGCCAAGATCTTTCTCATTCGAGACACACGAAAGTTGTTGATCTCCCAGGACATACAGAAATTGAGTTATCACAACAAACTTGTTTACCGGAACACATAATAATGACTATTGTGAGCCAGTTATCGCAAAAGTAGACATTGATATGTTTAACGTAAACGTCACTGAGCACCAGAGGTTTTGGAACAATCCACCTGGTTGGTTTGCACAAGTACATAAATTTTTCATCTATAGACCTGCTTTTCATGATGTTACGCTTGATAAATAGATCAGATACCTGCATTCTGCAACACGGACTCTTTGTATTATAGTTCGATTTAAAAACATTCAGGCATGCTGTTCAGGCAACTGGGATATTTATTCCTGTCTTTCAGAGTTCTGATCACCCTTAGCGTCGCTTCCGTACACCTCAAGGCTTATGATAATCATGACGATCACGCAATCATGTATTATCTAAATGTTTTGCTCAACTTTTCTCACACACCCCAGGTGCAAACACCCTGAAGCAAGTAAAGAGTGTCAAACTTTTCAGATTTACTTAACTCACCTATTATTCTTGCCACCCGTACAGTATATTTCGCAATCTATTTACAACATTGAGTCAGCTCCTTACGCTTGATATGGTAACTCCTTCTCTCTATTTTGTTTGTTAAAGATTAAACAATTAAATTTGCTCCGACTATGTAGCAAAGCGGTTTATTGACTGGACTTGAATGCTTACGTTTGTCGGAGTTGTAATGCTTCTTCCGGTAGTGAAGAAGATAACACATGCGGAATTTACAAATGTGGAAACATCAAACAAAGGTTGACAAAGCCCTCTTGGGATGTACCTATGGGATGAGGGCTTTTAGCAAAGGTGAGAGTGGTCTCAAAGACCTACAGCTGCAATCCATTTTAGAAATAAATGCAAAAGTGTGAGAAACGTAAGTGTAAGTGGATGGTCAATAATCTGGTGAGATTTTTTTGCGGAACGAGTATTATCGGTTTGTAGTCGTTCTGCTGCCGTCTATATTTGATAACATTTAAGAATACGAATGCCAAAAGGTCAACATACACATTTTAATTCAACATTTCAGCTGAAAAAATCATATGTTGGGCTACCAACCATAAAAATGTGTTTAAAAATATGAGCTGAATCACGTGGCAATCCTCTGAATAGTACAGAATTCGCATATTGCTTAACAGAATATCTAACCCTTTACGAGCTGCATAAATCATTGTTGATGCATGAACACTAAAACATACACTCTTCTCTTAGACATCAGTTCACATAGGCATCTGGAACTGTTAGTTGTTAATTTCTATTTTCCCGGCCAATTTCAACTCGTTGTTCAGAGTTCGCTCTCAAGACTTGTGAAACAACTCATTAGTAACTGTGATTGAAATTACTAATGTAGCCTGGAATGTTTGTGCCACGCCGTTATCTGCATGAAAAACGTGACTTGATAGAAGTTTTCCGATCGGAGTTCGCAAATAGTCAACCGTGTCTCCCTTCGTTGCTGACTGTCTATCCCTGAAGCCAACACTTGAACAAGCATGTATTAGCCATTCGGTTCAGCCCTGGCACAAGCTGGTTGTTGTAGTGGTAACACACTCGTTGAATGCGATGCGTCTCAAGTTGAGTCCACCTGACTATACGGTGGATATGCACTACTGATGAGCCCTAAGGAGGGCAAAACTCGAGTCTGGTGCTTCCGAGTGTACGGTTAACTGGAATAGCTGAGAATTGTGCGTGAAGGTGCAGTCTGAAGCCTGAAAAGTTCCAATCAACACCAATTATGCCACAACACTACTAACAAGTAACTGTGACGTAAGTGTGAGTTGTAAAAAGGAAGAAAATTATCAAACAGTCAATTAGAAGAACTAGCTGATTATAGATGGTGAAAATCCTGCATATACACCCCACGATAATTGGGTTCTGCTTTTTTTTCTAGTCATCGTAAATTGATCACATAACTTACTAACTTCTGATCTTCACTAACCACAAATTGGTCTGCCGAAGTCATTGCGGTAGCTCAGTGCAACTACTGCTAAGGAGAATCGTTAATTCTCCATGGTATATTCAGCGCGCTAAAAGCCTCGACACTGAAAATACTGTTTGGATAAATGCAGCTTTACTGTCTGACCCCCCTATTTAAAGGTCTCGAAAAAAATGCATGAAGGAACAAGAAGTTCCAATACTAATTTCATTTTTGCGTATACCCATTCAAAAAAGTATTTATTGCAAGGAATCAGAGAAAAACATCAACGGAAAAGCCCATCTGTAATCTAAAATAACATGTTTGGAGATGTTTTTGAGGTTTTCACAAATGTTTGATTAGCAAATGTAATTCAACGAAATGTGATTCTTGGAGGCTACCATCTAACGTCGATCTCTAGCATATTACAAGGAATCATTCACCTGAAATGCGTATTTTCAATTTTGCTGCCGAATGAAATGTGAACGTTTCTCAAGTGACTCTTATTTCATTATTACTATCGTTTCTCCAGCTTATGAAGATTACTTCATTGCCAATGAAGATATTCCAATGAACTATGTTCCGTTCTCCTGCTGTGATATTTACAAACACGGTTCAGAAACCTGTCATAACGCTTCTCTGACGACTATGAAGGGGCGGGTCGGCAAAGCTCCCGAGTACGGCGTGGATACAAATCAGCTGATTATCCCCAAACACATGGCTTTCGATCGCGGATGCCAAAGTTCACTCTACACTACAGTTCTCCCTTTACTGCTGATCTTATTTGGTGCGTTGCTTTTTTTCAACCTGTTGACTGCCATATCTAATGGTGTTTACCTACACTACAGTTCTCAAGCAGAAATGGACTCGATTGAGTTCGTCGACGCGGCGCTGCGGGGTGAATGTCAGTAAAGTTCAATGACGTTCACATGACCCGATGTCGTTTGTCTGTGTTTGCGCCATATTCCACCTCTATCTTCTCTGTCCATGTCCGACCCAAACCCCACTCATGGACACAACTCGTCAGTATGTGGCCGACTCAAGCCCACTGAGCACGTGTTCTGTCCTCGATAAGTTTAAATGATTTCCCCCCTCATTACAAAACCAAAAACAAGAACAACAACAACAACATTATCATCAGCAGTAGCACCAACAACAAGAATAACAACAGAAGCAGCGAGGAGTAATATATTAAGATCTCCGCGCCATTTTCTCCCTATTGTTTGCAACATTTTCAACTCAAATTTTATCTTGTCGTTCCGGTTATTCACTTACCATTGATTTCTGCCTTTTCAGTACTGTTTACACGAAAAAAGACAATCAGTAGAAGAAGTTTAAATCTGTAAAATACAATACGATGTTTACATCTTTGACTAACTTTCTTATGTGCAACCAAGTTATAAATCCCTGCTGCAATACCGACAGGCAAAATATTGGTGTATTTTGATGAAGCATGTAGTATGAAAATACACAGAAGTAGTGGATTTCGTAGAATTGAAATGTGTCAAACTCATATTAACGAGAGTAAGACGCGTACTTGCTTTCGGAGGTTTCATTTTTAAGCGCTGGAATCAGGTTCTTTGAAGATTGACTACATGGGCCTGTTTTTAAAGGTAGTTCAGTTGGATTAAGAAACATGGGAGATAGTGAAATCTGGTTGAATAGATTTGACCCTCATACATCTCCACACATGCGCAATCTCCAATCACTGTGATATTATAAAGCCTTCCATTTGGATTTTGACAATGGACTCTATCCGCGACGATTGCCAAATCCCTGGCAAGGCTGAAGGTGAAGATACATTCGAGTGTTTGCAAAATTGCAAAACCAGAAATAAGGACGAAGAAATTCAAAGAATTTGCTTTGGTGCATATATTTTTATTCGGGACGTTTTAGCGAATCCTGGAATAAGGAAAACCCATTGTGGTGATCACCCTCAGTGGTGTCTGGTATACCTTATGTTTGGGCAACTTGGTTAGGTAAGCAGACGAGGAAAGTTCAGGATGGTCGATGTGTCCTGGGATCTCTGCTGATAGAACGTCAGCTGTATAGATGTCTGAATAATGATCGTGTGTGTGAGAGTGTAGAATGCCACCAAAGTTTATAATCCGACAAAACCTTGGACAACGCACGAACGTTCATCAAACTGTGGTAGACTGTGAAATTGGGAAATATTTTCCTATCTCACGTGTACTGATTTGTGATTTTCGTTGTTTGTGTATTCTTTCGCTGGGATTTGTAATACGATGTTTGATTGTGGGGTTAAGAAACCAAGTTTATTCTGACCATTACAATATGTTCGAATGGAACGAAATGCCTGTGACCAAATTATTGGTGATGGAAAAAGAGCAACACAGCTATTTTTCCCGAATAGGAATTGTGTCGATAAATAAGAACTGTCAAATAAGCGGCCACATCATTTGAACTTTCATCTTTTCCTGAGTGAATATAATGCTTGCTTTCAACTTTATGCACCAATGATCCGCATTACCGATGATGTGATTTTGTCTCGTTTCTTTCGTTTTGCTATCTCCTGTCGAATTTGATTATTACCTTTTCAGCAAAATTTCCAGTAGCAAACGGGATAACGAAAGGAGCAGCCTGTAGTTAACTTTCTGAGCACAACAATTTTCTCTAAGAGGTCTTGCTCATTTCCGACCGTTGGAAGAAAACCGCCGATCACGCTCTTTTGCACAATACAGTCATACTACACGCAAATGTGAGTAGGGCCTCACCAAAGTGCTAGCTGTTGAACTAGATAACGCGTGCAAAGAGTTTAGAAAAACGCAAGTACAAATTAGTCGCTCATCCAGTTTGCGTGCATTTTACGAGAAAATTGATTTCATGCTTGAGCTAAGGTTCTGAGAATGTAGGGGATGTTTATTCCTGAGGAGTAGTTGGCTGAAGAGAACATGGTTGTTCGGGGATGGAAGCAAGTTCATCCCGATTCCCTAGTCAATATATGACATACATCAATCACGTGAACATTAAACACTTAGACGAATGCGTCAGTTCGGTTCAGTTCTGGTCTGTGTAGACTTTGCTTCCCAACTGAAACGCAAATACTATTTTACGTTCGTCCATTGCATGCAGACCAATATGCCTTGGTAAAAACAGATCAGTTAGTACCACCACACGATATACTTGTACCGTTTCATTGCTCCTCGTCTCAACTTCTAAGGTGAGCCGCCCCTCTATGACCTTTGACTTCCGGTTTTATCCAAGTGCACCGCTGTTAGCTTTCTGTAAGTGTTTCCGCTACTACTGCATACACATATTGGCCTGTTTTACAAAAGTGAACACTTCGTTGCGTTCAGTTGTGTGCTGCAGCGTCTGCATTCAGTGTTTTATCCAATGAAGCATTATTTACCAAAGTTCCACCATTCCACCAAAAAGTCCCAAAATTTCGGAACCAAGCTACATGATAATGTATAAAAACCGATTTTTTTCACGCATTACTTCCAAATGCCGAACCCATTTGTTTCTGTTCACTGTTTGGTGACGAATGACCGTTCAAATTGAAATCGGAATAAAGTACCGAAACAAAAGGTACAGTTCACTGCTTCTGTTAATACAATCATACATTCTGGTTTAAAGAAAAAGCGAAGAAAAAGCTTATTAACCTACGTTGCGCGAGCATCGCACTTTTAATGCAACCGATTGTTCGCCATTAGGTCAGCCAGTTACTCTGTGAGTCACCCGTCGAATCCAAAACCTGAAGATTTACCTGTGAATCACAAATAGTCATTCAATGAACTCAATTGAGTTTAACTCACGCACTGTTCAGGTTAATTGAGCATTCGGCGTCGCGTTCAATCGATACACCTGAGGATGAAAAATGACAGATGTGAAATGATTGGCTCCTACCGCCAACATTGATGCCGCGTGAGTTTGTCCCAGTGTTCGAGTTGTTAATATCCAATAAGGCGCTCGAAACAAAAGGTTCGCTTTGCATCTGATCAGGTCCAACAAAGGGAACCTGTTCAAGTTAATTGTATTTTTACTTTTTGATGTATTACTATGACAATTTCACTGTTTTGATAAGATACTGATGGCTTCACAAAACATTTCAGTTTTCTTGATATACTAAGACTACGTAAAGTATTTATTCGGATTTCTCTTCTATGAAACAGAAGGTCATCATAAAAAATTGAAAAAGTTGCTCAGTTAAACCAGTTTCTATTTATTTAATCACAAATTCCCGCGTAAGTTATCATACTACTCAAAAGCATCAACTACTGAAAATATTGCTGTGTCCCGCGTTTTTAGGATTTGCTGATTTTATTCGAAATTCTGAGGGGTGCGATAAAGCGGGAGATTTAATGTGTATATGCTCTTCTACTGAGCAGTTGTTATTACTAATTGTTGACTTTGTGTTGGCAGATCTGTTCATTTGAGTTCACCTACATTCATCAACTTTATTGTCAAAACAATCTGCCTCTGCTCTTCAAAAGTGTATACAGAAGTATCTTTACTAATCTGGAAAAACAATCTGGAAAGACAATTAATTTGAAGATTTATTTTAAAAACTTCCAGAATGTTGAAGCATCCTTTTGTTACGCAATCCATCACTTTAGATCCTTCATGGTCGATCACCATCAGAAGGCGTTGACTTAGATTTCATTGCACAAATAGCAAGGAGGTGTACCAGAGAGATCGGTCACTTTCAAAACGAACTTATAACTGTGCTCAAATTGGAACCCGTGTCCATTCATAATGCATCATTGCTTTATTATGATTGCTATTGGCCTGGCAATCGGAACAATGAAATGAGCCACTCATGCGCTGGTAGTCGATCAGTCAAATGTAACAGCCGTCCTTGGTTTTATTTTGGGTCCCGATAAAATTGGACGATGTATCTCAATTGTTTGTGTCACGAGGCAGCCATTTACTGGTCGAACCTCCTATTCTAATGATTGAAGGTGCTGTTGTATGGTCAATGAATAAAAGGAGTAAAATACTGATACGTTAACCTCCCAATTACATATATTCCACAAACGATTAGGAATACTCCTCTTACAAAAGTGAACCTTAAAATGCAGATGAAATTAATGCGTGACAAAGCATTTTCTATAGGCTTATCAACCAGAAATAACTGATGAATTCGTATTTGAAAAGCAAAGACAATAAGACTTGCTGGTTGTTGGAACCTTCCGCAGGTGTATAAATAGACCACTCAATGCTGCAGCAGCAGATAATAATACTATTACGAAGGAGTTCAACCGAGTTCTACTTAACAACTATGAGGGGGAGAGTTACGGAATGCTAGACGACATAATATGGATTGATATTTCAAGAGGAAATAGCACTATTTTTTATCTATGGTGGATATTCTCAGTCGTTTGTTCACATTGGCCTCATTAGGTAGTACAAAATTTGTCACTACAAAACAGTTTGTGCAAAATCGTATCATTGGTACCTGTTGAAGAATACTCCAAATGTTTGTGAATTACCGCTTGCATGTTTACTAAGTAACCATGACACAAAATTGCCGATATTCCAAAAAGCTTCGAAAATGCATATATTCATTGGTAGTGCAATTGCTGTTGAGATTGAAAAACATGGACTTTTACTGAAAAAATAAATTAGTCATAAAGCAAATGTAATAATCTGGAAAAATTACTAAAAATATAAATCCATTTCATCTGATCCCTCTAGACCTGAGACAGATTCAGGGCTTTTTGAGAAGTGTCTTCGGAATGATCTGGTAATTTTGGTTTATCTAATTATTTTTCGTCGATGTTCTACAATAGCGAATTAACATTAAAGGCAATGGGTCGTTTGGCCTTTGAGAAACCACCAAGCTAAATTGAAGCAACTTAGGTCGTTGCCTGTTTACTTTGGGTGAATTCATCAGACTAGTTTGCGCTGGGTTAATTTTCGTTATTATCGTTATTATCCGTCGAAAGTAC